ATCAGCATAGCGACAGTATTTTACAGGGATCTCTACAAAAGAGCCAGAAGACACTAGCCACGAAAAGCAAAACAATAACAATGACGGTAACCAACTAAAAATAACCCAAATTGAAGAAAATGATGTCATCGAGGCATTGAACAAACTAAAACTAGACAAAAGCCCGGGCTCGGACATCTTAACAAACGATACTCTAAAGATAGCTGCCCCAATACTAGGTACACCCTACGTAACAAAGGAGACGGATACGTTTCCATACATTCTTGGGCTTAGGTGTTAACAAGATGAAAGTTGGATCATTTGAAAGCTTACATATAAACAATCCACAGTTGAAAATTTGGCAAGATTTGTCAATACAGGAGCTGAGTTATTTAAGATTAAGTCAAAGTGAGGTTATATTTTACCTACATTGTAACAGTCGATTTCTAACTATAGATAATATATTTCTTAAATTTACGCGAACACTACACATTGAATAAAACTTAATAATAAATTTAAGAAATCATTATGTGAACCAGTACGGACTGGTAATAGCAAATAAAATTCGCCGATTAGAAGATCTTAAAACCAAGCGCGCAAGATATATAACATCTTTAAATTTCTTGAAGAGATGCAGAGACCATAATCTCATTCCTACGTGTGTCAAAATATCAACAAAAAAGGACATTCGAGGAAGCGCAAAGATCTTAAATCAGGCAAGTAAAAAGTTGTTACAAACGGTAATTCAGCAGAAACGGTTCGATTTATATTTCATAAACAACACCATAGACAATTTGTTCAGTGAACTAAAGACAGTTTTAACGACATTTGATTTCAATAATTGCATCGAAACTTTAAACAAACGAGAAACAGCAAAATACAATGAATGCAAAAATAAACAAATAGAAAAATATCAAAAATTAACGATCAAATCAAATTCCAACCATCTAAGTCAACGTCAGAACGAAACACAACCGTTGACCACAGACGCAAACAATAAACTACGCACGGTCTATATAATCTGTCAAAACATACACTGGATGAACCAACAATAAAGGTGTTAGCGAAGGGAATGAATTACGCATTAACACCGCGAAAATCCCGTACGAAGAAATTATCTGCAGCGTTGAGGATTGTCTGTTTAAAAATAATATTGGTAAGGAAGATTTGGAGGCTATACGTCAAGATATTTCGTCCTTGTTACGTTGTAGTTCAGTGCCGAAACCAAACCTTCCTAAAGACGAATTTACAGCGTTGATTAACTTACGGAACAGACCAGATCTAACGATTCTCCGCGCGGATAAAGGAAATGCTACGGTAATAATGGACACGTCAGAGTATAATTTTAAAATACTACAGCTTTTATCGGACGAAAGTACATACAAAAAGGTCAAAACAGACCCCACAACTAACACCATGTACCAAACCACAGAGGTTGTATGGGTTACCAAAGATACACAAACCAAACGCTCCACTACGTCCGATAGTGAGCCAGATCGATTCACCAACTTATAAGCTGGCCCAACACTTGACAAAAGTACTGTCACCACTGAGAGGACATACCAGAGCACACACAAAGGATTCATACCATTTTGTTAGTGAGATAAAAGACCTACATCTCGCTGACAATGAAACTATGGTCAGTTTTGATGTTCAGTCACTATTCACATGCCTACCTATTGAAGACTGCATATCAATTGTAACTAGGAAGCTAGAATATAATAACATGCCTGCTGAATATGCAGTATTACTCAAACCCTGCCTCACATCTGGCTATCTATTGTGGAAGGAAGAGTTCTACAAGCAAGTAGATGGTGTGGCGATGGGCTCACCTGTATCTCCCATAGTCGCTGACATATTCATGGAGGACTTCGAGGAGAAAGCCCTTCTTACTGCTCCTGTAAATCCAAGATTCTACAAGCGGTATGTAGACGACACTTTCACAATTTTACCATCTGACAAAATAACTGCATTTTTAAACCACCTTAACTCTATAAACTCTAAAATGCAATTCACAATGGAGTTAGAGGCAAATAATTCTTTAGCTTTCTTAGATGTTTTAGTCATTCGAAATCCTAATAACACAATTGGTCACACTGTGTATAGAAAAAAGACCCATACCAACCGATATTTAAACGGTGAATCTCACCATCATCCTTCACAGTTAGCTACCGTGGGTAAATCTTTGTTTCAGAGAGCACGAGGGATCTGTGACAGAAAACATCTGGCCACCGAACTTCAGCACGTCAAGCAAGTATTGCAAGACAACAAGCTTCGGGTCCCACGCCTACGTCACAGTGACCGAGTGAAGCCGGCCACAGTCGAGCGTGTACCTGCTGTACTACCATATGTCAGAGGAGTCACAGACAAGGTTGGCTACATCTTGAAGCGAGCTTCTATTAAAACATACTACAAGCCGCCGAAGAAGATTAGTCAATTTTTACCACCCGTCAAGTGTAATATCCCTCTACAAGATGCAGGAGTGTACAAGTTAGATTGTGAATGTGGTCTCTCTTACATAGGTCAAACAAAAATATCCATAAAAACCCGCGTGAAAGAACATATAGCTGACGTGAAGCACCGACGCTCCGGGATATCTGCAGTCTGCGAACATGTTCAAGATCGTCCCCACCATTACATTCGTTTTGATAAACCACAAATTCTCGCAAAAGAACACCGATTCCTACCAAGGATAATACGCGAGGCTATTGAAATTAAAAAACATCCAAATTTCAATAGAGAAGATGGATGGGTGCTGCCACCTGCTTGGGATCCTATAATTAACAAAATTAAACCCAAACCTAAGCATACCACTGCAAGACTTCATGATACTATAAGCTCGTTTTGCGTAAATCGGACCAAAAATTAATATTCAAAAACTGAAGGTAGCCGGACTAACTATGACATTGGGACGTCAAACATCTCAGTCCCCCCCCGTGACCATGGTTGCTGTAAAGCACCCGAAACGTCGGGAATTAAAAATAAGTAAAAGTAGTGAAATAAACGCGATAAAATCCGTAAATTTAGTTTTATTCAATGTATAGATAATATAGTTATTTAACTACTAAACAAATATTTTTCAAGTCTTAAAGGTGGTAAAAGCTTTAAAGAACAATTATATTTATAATTTCTCATAAGTGTAAGTGGAGGTAAATGCCTACTTACTTCGCCTGTAATGATTTGCTGAAATAACATCAGCTCTTTATATTAAAAACTGTTCCAGGCTTTCTTGTAATTCAAGTGGTAAATATATTTAACCAAAATGGCTACACTTCGAGAACACTCAGGCAATTTGTTTATTCACACAAATATAAATTTTTAAAGGAAAAAAGGATAACCAGGAATCGAACCAGACACTTGACTTTGATTATACACATATATATATATATATATATATATATGTCTCAATTACATATCTACCTATTCCTACCTAATTCTCTATATCTACCTAATTTAGCCAGATAGGAATAGGGTGGTGGTTAGGTGGTTATTTAAAAAAAAAACTTTTTGTTTAGGTATTTTAATCGTCTTCAATAATTATTAAAATATCATCAAGGAACTGTGCAGGTGGCACTATATTGTCCTGATACCTTGCCCAACTAAGGTACCATATAATTAACATTATATGGGCGCAGCAGCCTACTGTGCGTTTCCCTACAATACGACGCTGCGAGAGCTGTCAACCAATATGTATACAAAGTATATTTTGCGGCTAGTGTGCCTTGAATTTATGCTTCCTCTAAGCAACCATGAGGTATTTGAAACAGACAGCTCTCGCAATAGACTGCTGCTAGCCTCCCTGCACACTTCAATTACATAAACATCATTTGCTCTTATGTGTTCACCATAGTAAGAACGTGCCTGCTTCAATTGGTATATACCTAACGAAATTAATATAAGTTCACTATAAGTAAGCTGGGGAAAATCATTCAAATTGTCATTTTGGATACTTATTGTTTGGAAATCAGCCCTGCGTTTATTGTAATTATTTCTTATGGGCTAGTTCGTTTTCGGTATTCATAAAACATATTTATTTGCTGAAATATTTCCCCAGCATCGACACGGTCTACTATGGGAGAGTGAAAAGCATTTAAAAGAGCAGCAGCCACTTCAAAATATAACATAATTTTTTTCCGTTGTATTAGAATAATTTTGCCTTAACAATTTAAAATCACGTTTGAATCTTCCATTGACCACCTCCACAACCCAACGCCATATGGTGACTGCTCTTGAATTATTAGCTTCACTAGTTGATAGTTGTGTTTTACCCTCCCTCAAGGAAGCAGGCACGTAAATTCTGTACCCACATTGGTTTAATATAGGTAATGAATCACGAAAGCCCCTAGCTAGGGTGAAAGTATCACCTTGCATAAAATATTCTCTAAGTGAGCTTCCATCTGAAAATTCTTTTTTCATGATATTTGCATCTGAAGTTGTAGCTGGATAGGGGCCTAAAACATCAATGATATATCCATCAGTGCACACAATTATAAATGGTTTAACTAAGTTTCTATATTTATGTAAACTATATGTCCTCTTTTGGTACAGATAATTAGAACTTTTTTCAATATAACAATATATCCCATCAAATATTACAATGGACCTATTTCAAAGCATTCGGTATTGAAAGATTTCTTTCTTTCATTTCTTGCCTATTTATATGGTTTAGACCTAAGTGCTTAGGCACAAAATAGTCTGTAAGCAGATGACGTATTTCTTTCAATCATTTTTCCAGAGTTTGTCTGGACACCTTTAATAATGATGACAATCTATCTTTAGAGTCACCTGTCCTCAGTTTAGTTAAGAAAGCAGCCAAAGCAACGGACCCTCTAGGTACTTTCTTTAACGGAGGAATCTCATTAAATGTTTGATTTAACTGTACTTTATTCAACCCAATCCAAGTATGTATAACATGGTCTTCCAAATCATCAATACTTTCAAAATTAAGGCATAATGAGGAAGAAGAATATTTTATGGACAGCATATCCCGAATATGAATTGCAGTAAAAGTTTTCTGGTAATTATTTCTTAAACTTTTCCCACGATTCAATTACTAAATGCCAATCGCAAAGCCGATTGTTTTCAGGTACATAATAATTATAGCGATTGAGTGACATATTATTTGTGGAAAGAGGAACTCTATGCTTTTCTGTTCTGTAACATCCTTCTATAAAACACCCTCTCTCTGTTTTAATAGCCCTCATGTAGTCTGGTAACACAATAGTCGATTTAGATTGTGGCAGAGATTGAAGCACAGGTTCGGGCATAGCTTCTAGCATAGTTTGAGGCGTAGGTGGAGATTGAAATTGTACTTCCAGTGGTATAATTGGAGTATCTAGTAGCTGGGGTTGTATTTGAGGCATGGTATTTTGTCTTGAGGTTGATGGCCCAGAAATCATATGAACAGTAGATCTGTCTGCTAACACCCAACAATAATGGCATATGCGACTGGTTTGCACCATCTACAATAAATAAACAAGATTGAATTTGATAATAATAATGAAAAAATCTAAAAATTAAATAAGTAAAAATTAACTGATTTAACACACAGTTTGCGGCATAATCCATTCTCGAATAACATTAAAAATTCTCAATTCACGAGGTGAATTAGTTTGAAGTTGGTGAGTGTCACGTTGTGATGACAACAAACGTCCACAGCGGAGACAAACAGTGGAGCGACCTACTGGTCTCGGTTCATCTATAGATCGTCTACTTAAGACCACCTCTTGAGCTAAGTCCCAGCAGGCCTGACATGCACAGTTGTTGTTGTTTACCTGAAAGATAAAAGATTATGTAAAACCAATGTACCAAGACGGTTGAGGTGTCGTAATATGCACAGAGCATAGTGAATGTGTGCAGTGAAGCACTAAGAATTGACTGTTTATCAATTAATTATGATCAAAGAATAGTACTTACAGGTTCAGGTGCACACCATTCACGGATCACAGATAGAGTTGCTTGGTCAAGTAAAACTCGTTTGTCTATTGTATTACAGCGACCAGTCGCTAAGCCACAATTAACACAATGGTGCATGATGACAATATCTAATCGATAGGCTGTCATATTCCAAATAACAAGGTTGGGTATTTGGATAAGTGAAATTAATCGGTGTCCAATAACGAAGCAAGGGTCAGTAAAAAGCAAGACAAGAAAACGGAACGAGTGGAAACAATAAGTGAGTGACAAGTGACGCACAGATTATTAAATACAAGCAAGCTATAGTGAAGTAATAGTTGACATGTCAATCTGAGATCGATTAATAAAAATCGATTATTTAGAGTTAGGGAATCGATTTTTCAGTTCCTTGGATCCATTCACTAAATCGATTCAAGAATCTATCGTATCGGAGCGAATCACTTAGTCACCATCATCATCATTACAGCCCTTAACAAGCCCACTGCTGAACATAGGCCTCCTCCAAGTAATGCCACAAAGCCTGAGCCAACTGCATCCATCGATTACTGCATTTCTTACCAGGACGTCACTCCATCTAGTGGGCGTCGCCCTACACTACGTCTACCGGTACGAGGCTGCCACTCGAGAACCTTTCTTCCCCATCGGTTATCGGTTCTTCGAGCTATATGGCCAGCCGATTGCCACTTCAGCTTACTAATCCATTGTGCTATATCGGTCATACATACATACATACATAAACACTCACGCCTGTCACCCAGAGGGGTAGGCAGAGACTACGGACTTCCATTTGACACGATCCTGACATACATCTTTCGCCTCCTTTACATCCATATATCTACGCATACATGCTCGTCAGTTAAGGGTAATTTTAACGTGGCCCATTTTCAAAATATCGCCAATTTGGTCGATAAACTTTTTTCTAGGGCGTCCCTTCCCGACTCTGCCGTTCACATCTGCCATATAAATTTGCTTTGTCACTCTTTCCTCATTCATTTTTTCTACGTGACCAAACCACCGAAGCATTCCTTTCTTAATCCTGGTCACAACATCATCTTGCATACCACATTTATCTCTTATCACGCAATTTCTCACCCTGTCATTCAGATTCAACCCTAGCATACTCCTTAAAGACCGCATTTCTACAGCATTTATTCTACTTTCGTGCTTCTTCTGCCACACCCAGCTTTCACTACCATACATTAAAGTAGGGACTAACACAGCATTATGAATTACCATACGTGCCTTTTTTGATACATACTGGTTCTTCACAATAGAGTGTAGTGCCCCATTCACTCTATTCCCTGCATTTACTCGTCGTTCTATATCCTTATCATATCTACCATCTCTGCTAAATACACATCCCAAATACACGAACTCATCCACTTGCTCAATTAACTCTCCTTCTATTCTTATTTCACATACCGTTTTGCTTTCCACTCTTTCAAAAACCATCACTTTCGTCTTACTTGCGTTCACTTTCATTCACCTTTCTTTTAATGCCCAGTTCATTAATGTAACCATCATTTGCAATAAAGCCGCCGATGACGCAAATATGACTTGATCATCGGCATACAAAAGGCATTTGACGGTTAACTCGCCCATTCTTAAACCCACATTCTTCATCTTTCAAAGTTTGCAAAAACTGTCCATAAATAGGTTGAACAGCCAAGGGGGAAGCCACACAGCCCTGTCTGGCACCTTTTCGGATGCCAAACCAGTCCGAGTAGACCCCATTGATCCCGACACAAGCACTAGAATCCCTATAAAGAGACCTCAATGCCTGTATCAAACCAGCGCTCAACCCATATGAGTTCAGTTTTTGCCATAACACATTCCTGTCCACTCTGTCGTAAGCCTTTTCCAAGTAAATGAACGCACAAAAAACTTTCTGGTTTTTAGCCAAAAACTTTTCCGCAATCATGCCCATGGAAAAGACTTGATCTGTACACCCCATTCCCTTTCGAAAACCCGCTTGCACATCCCAAAATTTTCCATTAGTTTCTTTCATAACTCTTTCAATTAACACCTTAGCATACAGTTTACCCACAATACTAAGTGTGGCCGTGGAAGGAAAAGGGGAGATCTCCCGCCGGGCAAGGTGTTCTGCCCGGGGAGCGGCCAACACTCCGAGTGATAGTTCGGAGAAGTTCTATATATACTGTCTATGATTCGGAATGTTGATAGCGCGATTTAGGCTTCGGTGTGTTTTCGCTTGTGGCGGCGACGGCAGCGCCGCTACATCACCCCCTGCTCAGACCGGAGGTCGTTAGTGCAGCCTTGTTGCCGACGAATGTGCAAGTGCCAGTGGATTGCCTTGTAGTCTGCGGTGAGTCGAGAAGAAGGCAAGTAATCTGCGAGAGTGCCGTGAAGCAGAGGCGAGCAGTAAGGCTCAGAACCGTGCCGAACACTGTAGCGCAGAGAGTAGCTTGAAGGAACAGGAAGCATTATTATTCCAGTGCTGCGATGAACCTTGTGAAGCTAGATGGCTTGCAGGATATGAAGACTGCAGTTTATATCTGCTCGTGAGCGAATGGGTGGGGTATTCTATGACGATTGATGAAGCTTGAAGTTTCCGAAGGTTGTTTGGTTGCCGTGTTCAGATCACGTCGGGGTCACCACTGTGGCCGTGGAAGGAAAAGGGGAGATCTCCCGCCGGGCAAGGTGTTCTGCCCGGGGAGCGGCCAACACTCCGAGTGATAGTTCGGAGAAGTTCTATATATACTGTCTATGATTCGGAATGTTAATAGCGCGATTTAGGCTTCGGTGTGTTTTCGCTTGTGGCGGCGACGACAGCGCCGCTACACTAAGCAAGCTGATACCACGGTAGTTTTTGCAGTCCTGCTGTGACCCTTTTCCTTTATATATTCGTACTATAATTGCTTTATACCAGTCATCCGGTACCCGTTTTAATTCCCAACACAAATTAAACAAGGTGTACAGCAGGCCTGCCACCACTCCCTTTCCAGCCCTTAGCATCTCGAGTGATACTCTATCATATCCAGCTGCCTTACCTGCTTTCATGATTTTCATTGCTTTCATTATTTCATCTACACATATCTCCATACCCCTTTCCACTTCTTTCGGAATTTCTTGTTCATTTAACTCAGATGACTCTTCACTCATAAACAAGCTTTCAAAGTATTCCTTCCATCTGTTTAAATTCGAAACTTCATCATTCAGAATAAATCCATTCTCGTCTCCTACAGAATTAATTATAGGCTGTTTTGCATTTCCCCTGGCAGTTCTTACGAGTTTCCAGAACATTTTTATATTAACCTGGAAATTATCAGATATCCTTCTATCATTCTTATCAGTTCTTTCTTTCTTTTTCCTTTCAACTACTTCTTTTACTCTTATTTAGACGTCTAAATTCTGCCTTTTTTCTTTCAATCTCATCATTCATACCACCAGAATTACCAGCTTTAGTTGCTAGTAAATCTAACCATGCTTGATTAAAACTACTTTTTACGGATTTTATCGCGTTTATTTTTACTTTTTATTTACTTTTATTTTTTAATTCCCGACGTTTCGGGGACGACTGCCATAGGCCATGGGTGCTGGAAAACGCCCGAAACGTCAGGAATTAAAAATAAAAGTAAATAAAAAGTAAAAATAAACACGATAAAATCCGTAAAAGTAGTTTTAATCATATATAGTGTTCGTGTAAACATAAGAAATCATTATGATAACCATGCTTTCTTCTTTGATTCAACTTCCACCCGTACCTCATCATCCCACCACAACGTATTCCTTTTCCTTTCATTTGTTCTCTTACTTACACCACATACTTCGGTGGCTGCATCCACCAAACCTTTCTTAATATTATCCCATACAGTATTCAAGTCTAAATCATTCATACACAACTCATTCAAACACCTAATATTTTCTCTCAGTCTGCATTTATACTTCTCTTTCACATCTTCATCTTATAACTTCTCTATTCTTATACGCTGTAACGCAGTGGTAGACACAGATGTCCGATGCCGCCAACGCTTGAAAAGACCATTAATTCGACATAAGACCAAGTAATGATCCGTCCCTACGTTGGACCCCCGGTAAACCCTTGTATCTACGACTACGCTCCTCATTCTTTCATCCACAATTACGAAATCTATCGTGCTTCTATTATCACCTCTTTCCCATGTATACATGTGAATCTTCTTATGACGAAAAAAGTATTCGTCAAAAAGAGATTCTTTTCCACACATACGGTGAGGAGGTCTTCACCATTCTCATTTATACTTTCATAACCAAACGTTCCCAATATCCATTCATAACCAGACCTCCTCACCCCAACCCTTCCATTAAAGTTTCCAAACATAATAATATTTTCATTTTACTTACATTTTGTCAACACCATCCTTACCATGTCCCAAAACTGCTCTCGGATGTAAGTGGGCTTAGACATGTCTGGGGCGTACACCCCTAGCAAGAACAGCTTCTTTAAGCCCACTTTCATTCGTATCCATAGCAGCCTCGGGCTTACACATTCGTACTCTTTCACACATTGACCCATTTTTTTCTAAAAGGATGAAACTAACTTTCTGGCATGCCCGTTCGATCTCGTCTACACCAGACCAATACGCGGTATACGTGCCATGTACAGAAGCATCCTTTCCCTTTCGTTTCGTCTCATTTACACATAACACCTCTATTCCTCTGTCATTCATCATTTCGCATTTTTCATCCATCTTATCATTCACTGCTCCACATACATTCAGCGTAGCCAGACGGGCTTCCGCAATCCACTTTTCGCCCCTCCGGGGGACAGAACGTGACGGGTGGCGAACCTCGTCGCCGGTTTTTGTCCCGGAGATTCTTCGCACCCCTGCCCCATTAAAGGGGCGCCGGGAACTCAGGGCCATTTCTTTTATCTCCTGACTCATGGTATGAACAAGGGGTGGTGGTAGGTTTTACGCCGCCACCACACGGCGGGAAGCCAAGTCTATTTTTTCAAAGTTAGTATGTACTAGTTAAGGTTTGGTGGTCGAAGCCTACGGACGCGAGCGACTCATCCCTCATGTCGGTCACTCTGGTTTTACTGCGGATGTCCTCATTTCTGAGTCTATCATGCAGAGGAACTCCGAGCATAGCCCTCTCCATAGCTCACTGAGCGA